ACCAGGTGAGGGAGGGCTGGATGCTGTCTGAGCTGATTTCAGGGCATTTTCTTGCATGGAAGCCTTTCTTCCCCCCTGGTGTCTTTCAGAGGCTTCCATTTACCAGTCCAGGAAGGTGTCCCACTGTGGCACCGTATCTGGCAGCCCGTCATTCACTGCACAGAAAGACGAGTTTGTCCAGCTCTAAAGAGCCCATCCGTGACGGCTGGTTGTCTAAACGTCTGCAGTAACAGCGTGCCAGTATTCTGAAACAGGCAGGTCTGCAGGCCAGTGTGTGTTCGTGTAATGGACTGGCATGTCTGAAGGCGGCCCTGCTGAATGCGTGGTGTTTCCTCTCTCTCTGAGACGAGGACATGCACTTCTGAAGAAAAGCCTTTCTGACCCATCTTTACGGGGAGCGACTTGAGGCAAGAGCCAGACCAGTCAAACCGGAGGATCAGGAGGGGCACTGGCTTCCTGGGTTCACCTAGCCGGTGGCCCAAGGCCACGCCTGTGAGTGGGAGCTAGTGACGCGCGCAGTCCCAGGAACACAGACAGAGGGCTGGTCACAAATGGAGTCTGCATTCAGAACCTGTGCCGTTGTTTTCCTTTGCCTCCGTTTTCCAGGCTTGCCAGCCCAGGTGCTGTTTCTCTGATGAAGCACTCGGCTGCTGACGGAAAGGTGGGCAGTTCAAACCCACCAGACCCTCTGCTGGAGAGCAATGTGGCCATCGCTTCCATCACGATTACAGCCTGGGAAACCCTGTGGGGCAGCTCACTGGGTCCTGTCTGTCACTGGGTCCAGCTCACTGGGTCCTGTAGGGTCCTGTCTTGGCGGCCAGTGGCCTCTCTGCTTATCAGTCTTTCCCTCCATGAAGCACACGCACGCTTTTCTGAACCACTAGGACAGGACATTGGAGACTTCCTGTCCCTTTGCCCTCAAACAGAGCAGACTGGTTCTTCTTTTCACAGCTGCAGCAGGAGATCCAGCGCCAGCCCCGCCCCATTCTCTGCAGTCACGTACTGGCAGGTGTTGCCTGGTGCAGGACGCATCCAGACACCTGGTAGTACTGTATTGACAAGTCCTTTGGTCTCATCTAACGTGGAGTCAATTCCAGCCTGACTTTCATAACACTGGCATATTGGAAGGAAAAACAGAACACCGGGTTACCATGGTGGGTTCCGATTCCTGAACCGTGAATGTGCTCTCCATGGTGGCCCCTGTGTGTGACAGCATGGGACTGCCAGGGACAGCCCGGGATTGGCTGCCATCTCAGCGCAAGTGGGCCACCAGGCCTTCTGCGGGGCTGCTGGCACTTATGCACCCCTTCTTTCCTGATGGCCCTCAGCCCCGGGCTTCCCTTCCTCAGTGAGATGCAGGCAACATGCCACCAGGTGTAGGTGGCTTGTGGTGTGTCCAGCAGGTGATATCACCTTTGGCCACCGGAGTGAGG